GTCAAAAAGTCGTATAAAGTGAAGTCAGCAAAAATCGTCCATTTAAATTGCATGCTTTATTTTATCTTTATCAGAGATAGTGATAGAGCCGTAAATTTGAAGTTAATTAATGAATCGTGAATGCGTTGAAAGTGCATATTTCCAACTGAAGCTTCACACTTTATCTTTGCTTTTCTTTTTTTACGCTGAAAAGTGATAGAATTCGATAGAGATGTATGTCTCTTGTCAGATCTTTTTCTTCTGCGTAATTGTAAAATTTTCATATACCTATGTGTGGATCGTAGGGAATCGCGATTCTCTGTGCACGTGCGTCAAAGTTCAAAGATTAAGCAGATTACGTGTTGCGGGATGCGATTCTAAAAATAAATATGTTTTGGAAAGTTGGCAGGAATTTATCGCGCGCTGCGAACCGTGCTCTCGAATCGGATCCCCGCCAAGTGGTTAGAACACATTTTCCCGGAACGTGCGAGTCTGCTGCCGAGCTTCTCTGCTGCGAGAGGCCTTTCCCCACTTGCTTACGTGCTCCACTTCGTCATCTATGTTGCATGATTCCTACATGCTTCTTCCTGTAGCGTGTACGTGCGCGTTCGCCACTGTTCGCATCCGTTTCGAGGGTTATTGTGTTCGACTTACCTCCAATCGACCTTCTTCTCGCCGAATCCCTATCACTGCTTTACATCCCTGCTCTTCTCATCCCATGTACTGTACTCTCGAGTAAAGGCGTCATCACCTTCTTAAACATTGCTAGAACATTGCCATGTCTCGACTAATTTCAACCTAATGAGGACGACTGACTCTACGGCTGTACGTTTAGATATTTATCTTCTGAACTGTTTAGAAAAAATTAGCATCCTCTAGAGGGAATCAAAGAGTTTCAAAGATCGTAGAATCTTCGTTCCTCGCATAAAGTGAAACATTATGTATGTCCGATTACACGATTAACGATCAATTAAAAATCGATTGAACGTTCGAATTCATCGAATTTACTTTATCGCGTGTGTATTAATACGTACATGTGACACGTAAGAATTGATTATATTATATATATTGTAGAGTAATAATTCAAGAATGTAGGAAAAAGTAGGTTAATATTTCCCATTTGAGCAAACAGTTACCAATAAGTTTCTTCGCCACCTTTCGTTCGTATGAAAAGGTAACTGAATTCTCGAAAGCATTTACCAGGCTGCGATTCAACGCCTCGTTTAATCGAGACGAATAAAAGCATACGTCGCGTCGCGTCGCGTCGCGTCGCGTCGCGTTGATTAGGTTTGGGTTAGGTCGCATCGAAACAAGCTGACGATAAAGGTGTGCACACCACTCGCGGAAAATTCATTCAAACGCGCAAATGTATTGTCAGTCATGATTGGCGCTCGAATCGTTTCGTTGCCACCCGAAAAGAAACACAGACGCGCGAATTGTTATTATCCGGCGTTTTATCAAAGTTTTATTGCCACAGAAATTATTGCAAGAAAAATACGTTGAATTAATATCGCGCGACGCAAAGTACTTTTTTGAAATTTCACCAACGAAATTCCTAATATCGTAAAATGTAAATAATAAAGGAAAACTTTTTTTTAAGTTTTTAAGTTTTAAACTAGATTTTAACTAGATTTTATTTCTTTCGCTTTCGACGAACGATACAAATGAATGCGACATACGTTTTTCGAGTAATTTCGAGTAACAATTTACAGGTGTCCAAAGAATATTTTCCACTCGTTATCTATTCACAAAATTATGTACTTATTGATTAAATTACTTTGTTACGAAACAAAACGAATAGCCCTTCTGTTCAGTAATCTACGTACGTGCCTCACTCACGTTCTCATTCGGTATTTGCTATTCGTGGATTCTACAAATCGGAGAAAAACTGTTCGCTCGAATAAAAGGAAACGTCGATAAATTTTACACTATGCTACAAAAACACAATAGCAAAGAATCGATTTGCTATTGTTTGGTATTGTCTTTTTCATTCCAAAGG